ATAATAGCTCGAGTAAGTAGGATTTACTATTAACGAGGAGCAGAAGGAGCTAATAGAGTTAAAGGCTAGCCGTCGCTTCCTAACTTAAGATCTAACATTCGATCTAGCTATTAAAATCTATAACTATTACTCCTACGTTAACGCTTTATTAATTTAGAGCCGGTCTATATAATCCTATTAGAGAATTGTCGAAGTATACCGGCTAATAATATCGTAGTAGAACGGTATACCCCGACGAGAGAGYAGTAGATAGTAATAGAGAAGAAAYAGGAACGGACAAGCGGTGCGAGCGGTATTAGAATAGTAATAGGAACTTCTAGGTATGTTTCCTACCCGTATAAAGGTATACGATACTAACGGGAATAGAGCTACACAATCTAGAAGAAGAACTTCTATAATATCTATAGTAACTATAAGTTTTATAATCTCGCTTATAGCTACGACCGTAGGGACTTACTTAATCGCTAGGATAGAGATTAGATACGGCCGAAGCGTAGTATATCGTAGGTAACGAGGTCTAGGCGTACTAGTAGTCGCTAGAGAATAGGGATAGTAGAGTACTAGTAATAGGGCTTAATTAGAGTAGAGGGTAGTTTTTAGAGAGGTAATTAGGGCGTTAAGGGTATCTAGGGGAGGAGGGAATCTCTTTTAAGTTCTTTGTACTAGCGGCTTTAAGCGTTAGGAGTTTATAATAGGTTATAATTTATTAATTAATACGTGTACTACCCCTCGCTCTCCTCCGCGGGGAAGCTAGAGGGCCCTACTACTAATATTAGTACTAYAGCACCCTCTACTACCCCYAAACTGTMTTAATTAGGACGATATACCTRTTCGTGTTRTTRCTAAGGCTTCTTAAAAGGTGTTGTTCTCGTTTTTTAGTATAGAGCCTATYRTAGAGGTTCTAAAAAATAGCGATTACGTAGATCTATCTAATATCTAACCTGCTAGCGCTCTACCCTTATCGCTACTAATAATAGAYAACCCTCGCCGTTTATAGCGCGCTAGCTCTCGGAGGGCTTATAACGCTACTATTAGAGCYCTAAGGCTATCGCGAAGGAAAGAGGCGGAACCGGTAGTACTATAGTCCGTAGAACTAGATAATATCGTAGAGGATATAGAAACTTCGGAGAATATAGA